ATTTGAAAAAGTCGGTGTAAATATTTGATAGGCCTCAGTACAACTGGCAAGCAAGGAACTGAGGGTGCTTGGAGCTCGGGACAGAACCAACGGGGCATGCAAGGGCACTGTCACCAGAGTCCGAGGATAACCTGTTTATGACACTTCCAGAAACATCCCTTCTTCTCCTTCTGGCTGGTAACTGCTTTGAGCAGTTAATATTCTCACATGATTTATCAACAGCTACTCAGGAGCAATATTCCTGACCCTGAGAGGTTGCCAAAGACAGCTACATGTCAGATTCTAAGTCACTGACTAAGTCCTCTTTATTTGCTTGTTTATCATCTTTCTTTCAGAGCATAAACCGGGAGGCTCTATCTTGCATATTCTCATCTCCACTACCTGAGACACTGCCTGGCACACACTAGGGAACACCATCGGTGTGAATCTGGATGCATGAATACTGATATTACTGAGCCCCGCATGCCAATTGTAACAATTTGCAACCCTAGTCACACATGGAAAACATAATATTTTTAATCTGTAAGTGATACATAGCTTGAGTGTGGCTATTCAAGTTGGTCATAGTAAGTAGCAGAAGGTAGCTGTATGAGATGCTGTCTGATTGGATATGGTATGTGTGTAAAGTTTCAGATCTCAGGAACCATGGCTTGGCTCACAATCATAGAGCTGAAGGATGAAAAGGCCCAATGATGTTTCAGCCTGCCATCTCCACCAGACAGGTGTGAGGAAAGATAAATTCTAGGGAATCTCCCTTACAGGCTGTGGCTATCTCTCCATCCTGCTACGTCCCTACATTGCCCTCCAAAACCACATGCCAAAGATATTTAGACCTCCTACAAGGGTGTTATGCCCTAAAGGTTCTACACACCTTCTGCTAGTCTTTAACATGAGCTATGTAGCATGTTCAACATCCAAACTACAGAGGTCTTACAGTGGGGGCTGGTTATTTTTTTCTGTGTGTTAAGCAGCCAATTCAAAGAACAAAAGGGATTCCTTCCAGTTTCATTTGGATAAGCAAACATTAAATGAACAACTATGGGTTGCTCAACCTCGATGACCTAGAGATGAGAAACACCCATCTAACCCTTGTGTGGTGAGTGCTGAAGAAAATGTGTAGAGTACAGGGAGCAGCAGGTAAGCAAGGCAGGTTCCCAACTTAAAACAAGCAAACCAAAGCAACAACAAAGATGGGGAAGCTACCTGCAAAAGGTGATACCCATTTGCTTTTGATCAGTCCCCAGAAGCGACCTACTTCTCATCTCATCTCGTTTACTCACTTTCTGTCTGTAAGAATAAGGCAGGTGGCCTGTTCTAGTGGCAAGGGGCCTTGGAGCACCCAATTAACCATCTGCCATACCAGGAGTGCCATACCAGCTAGGTCTCCAAACCTCCAAGGTCATCCGATTCTATTGGTGAAACACTTTGGGCCCCTGCACACTCACTTGCCTGAGAACATTGCACTCACAAGCTGTCATGGTCAAAATGGTCAGCATCCAGCAAGGACATGGAGCTGTGGCCCACAGCGGCTACCCCCTGCCTCGAGAGACTAATTAATACAGTTTATCTTCAGAAAAGAACATAGGTAGGGTATTGCTTACCAAAATGTTTAGACCAAAAGTGTTTGATTTAGGACTTTTTTCCCTTCAGATTTAGGACATTTGCATATAAATGAGTTATCAAGAGGGCGCACACCTTTGATCCCAGCCCTCCAGGGACAGAGGCAGGTGAGTTTGAGGCCAACCTGGTCTAAAGAGCAAGTTCTAGAACAGGCTCCAAAGCTACAAAGAAACCCTGTCTTGAAAAACAAAACAAAACAAACAAGCAAAAAAGTTATCTCAGATATGGGACCCATTTTTAAACAAGAAATCAATTTATTTTCACATAGGCATTATGAACACAGCCTGAAGGTAATTTCATATTTTGACAGTTTTGTGTATGAAACAACTTCACGGTGTGAGGTTTTCTTTTTTTAATTTTCACTTATTTAGTATGTATGTGTGTGCACGCGTGTGCGTACGCGCTCATACATGTGGAAGTCAGAAGGCAACTCCAGGAGTTAGCTCTCCCTTTCCATCATGTGGGTTCCAAGGAGCAAACTGAGGTCGTTAGGCTTGATGGCCAGCTCCTTTGCCTGCTGAGCCATCTCACTGGCCCCTGGTGTGGGATTCTTCTCGTGTCTTCACGTCGCTCCTCAAAAATGTTTCAGGTTTTTGTTTTCAGATGAGGGGTGTTCAGCTTGCACAATGTATTGCAGGGTTTCCCTTTCTTCTTGATGCTGAGGCTGTGAGGTCTGTGTGCAGGAGATGGGGCACATAGTTTTTCATGCGTCAGCATTCTGTCACTACATACCTGTTCCCATAGCCACTTGCAGAATTTTCTAGTCTTTCCAACTGAGAAATCCTGCAAATTCTACATATAGGAAAAAAACTGTAAAGTATTTACACACCTCTTTAAGCAGATGAATCAATGGTTGCCTCTAACCGGTTGGGTCTCATGTATTTTCTTGGGAAATTGACATGCCCCCGCCCTCCGCATCTGGGGTTAACAAAAGACAGGTCATGAGGGATGGATGACCTTCCCCTGCCATTTTGCTTCCAGAGAGTGAGGTGGCCCCACATAAAACACTCTGTTCCTTGGTACCACATGCCTTGAAAATTATATGCTTTCAACTCTAAGGGCGCTAGCAATGAATGCGCATGCTATTTTATAACCTGCTTCTCAGAGCCTGTGGCCTTTAAGCCCTCCTCCCTGCTTTGAGAGCACAACTGTTTCAGAAAAGAGGGTTAACCTCAAAAGAATCGGGAGTAGTCTCGGAGCATTTGGATTGGGCAGGAAAACACTGGCTCCCGCGCGGCCTGGATATTGTTACCCTGAACCACATTTGTCACTGGATCCGGAGAGTGGTGGTGTTTTCCCAGACAGGATTTTAAAAAAAGAAACAAAGAAAGATAAAATTTATGGGTATCCCCATGGCCCTCCTGGTACCCAGGCAGCAGTCATCTCTGACATGCTAATCTTCAGTGTTAAGGCTATAGACATCCCAGTCTGTCCTCTTAGAAACCTAAAACGAGGCCATTTAAAAGAAATCAAAGGGCAAATATCAGACAAGCAATGCCTCTTCCATCAGTTATTCTGCTGTCTATGCAATCCTTCATACTTTAGTGTGAGAGATCACTTGAAATTCTGGGGGCCTCTCAGCAGATTATCTATAGTTGTTGAGGCTTTGAAGTCGAGGCCGCTGGCATCTCATTGCTGACAGAGATCAAAACCAAAGCTGTAGGGTGTCGCTGCCTGGAGGGCCTCCTTCACACAGCAGAAGCACTAGATTACCAAAGTCTGGGCCAAATCTAGGCGCTGCCTGCTCAGCAACAAATTGCCCCTCCCACCTCCTGCCAATCACTGTCCTGCTTTTCCCAAAATAGAGGAAGTCAGAGTCAAGCATGGCCATTCTCACCTAATGCGAAGAACATGCATGGGGTCTCCATGAGGCTGATGCCTTAAGTGGTAAGTGTGTTTGGAAAGGAAAATGACTTAGCAACAGGGTGAAACTAGTCCTTTCCTGTGTCTGAACTCCTCATTGGACAGACCCAAGGATACTTGGGATTTAATTCATGGTGTGTATGCCTCTGCACTATTAGTTAGCATAGGGCCTCCTATCCTAAATTCTGTCTCACTGGGTTTTTCTCAGTGGTAGGAAAAGATACATTAGAAAGCTATTCTGATTGCTGCTTGTATTTTCTAGAAAGCCTCTTGCTCCCGGGCAGCTGCTGTGAGAACAGGTTATGCTCTGCCACAGGCTGTCAGGGGATGCTTTTCTCTTATACTGGCCATCCTTTTAGGAAATGCCATTGCTGCTGCTCTTGTATTAGGTCAGGGTCACTAATGGAACTGTTCTATACATGCTCTCCAATCTCATTTCTGTACTATTGGGTGAGCCTGCCTCCTGCCTCATTAATGCTGCTGGGAAGGTTGGGTGAGGAGGACATTTCTGTGGTCTCCAATGTCAGTTCAGTTTTGTAGTTTTTCCCATTTGTCCAGTTGGCTCTCTGCCAGCCCTCGCTTGCTTCCCTCTCATCTTGCTATCTGTCATCTCACTAGTGAACTTGTTTCCTTAGCGTAGAGGACTTTTAAAAGCCAGTGGTTAGGGAATCCATCAAATCCCAATCCACCCCTTCCCCTTGGCATTTCCCCCAGTTGTCCCTCCCTCATCCCCTCTGTCAAGTGTGAATAGGTTTGAATTCCTTCCTCTTGCTCGAAGGCAACTTCTACCCTTCCTGCTCATTGGGTACCCCAGCTCTGATTTCAACCTTGTACTCTCTCTCTCTCTCTCTCTCTCTCTCTCTCTCTCTCTCTCTCTCTGTGTGTGTGTGTGTGTGTGTGTGTGTGTGTGTGTGTGTGTGAGTTAGCATGAGCAGGCATGCATACACCAACAATAGTGCCAGGCTAGTCTCTGAGCAGTTTATAGTTGCTCTACTATAGTTTCTACTTCTGATATGTCCAATTTGTGATGAGTTTATCACATTATAGTCCTATGGAAGTTAAGTCCCATTTCTAGGTTTTAGTCCTGGGAAGCCCTGCCATCATGGAGCTTATTCAGGTTCATCTCACTTAACTAGAGCAAGCTGGACACTCTCATTATGGCCCTGATATTTGGATTGACACATATTGGACACATCTAGTTCATTCATATAACTTTCTCCCCCTCCCCACCACTGACCACAAAGTTCTTAGCCACTTTCTATACTGAAAGCACACTAGAGACTTTCAGGGACACTGAAAGGAGTGGAGAGTGGGGTGCCCCCAGTCACCAGGGCAGAGTCTGAAGCCTTTGAACACCATGGGAAGAGCTGGATCCTGCTAGAACACAGCAGGGTTCAAACACCTCCTGTAGTATTAAAGGCTTTTCAATTCAGCCAAGGCTTTGAGGGTATACTTGTGTATTCACAGAGAACACACACACACACACACACACACACACACACACACACACACACCATATGCAACCATATCACCTATAGTCCCACTGCCCTCAGAGACCCCATGTCCAGGTTTGTGTTGCTTCTTTAATTGATGATGCCTGAAGCATCTCGAATTCCACCCCAGAAACAGTCCTCCAGGCAGTCAAACAGGGTTGTTCCAGTGACTAGGGGCACTTTGTGGTTCATGGTTCAGTAAGCAGAAGTGACTCACTGACATAAGATGTGGCACAAATCCAATGGGGGACAATCACTATGGATATTTGGGACCCTTCTTTATGCTTGAGCAAACACTCCGGATGCCTGTTATCTTCCTCTTTGTTCACTTACTGTCTGATGACTTCATGATAGAAATGGCACATACTTCAGATCCAATCACAGTTTAATAAGCCCTCCCATCCCTGTTGCCCCAAGAAAGTGTATACACCGGGACTTGTCTGTAACACTCATCTAAGGTGAAGCAACTGGGGAAATGCAAACCGACTTTCTCATCGTCTCATTTTGTTCCTCTTTCCCAGAACACACAGGAAAATCTGGCTGCAGAGATACTTAGTTCAGGGTCCATTTCCTTTTGGTGAGGTGTTGCTGATAGTCCTGCCCCTAGGAAGCAAAGCTGGAGGTGCTGTGGAATCTAGGACACATGAGTCGAGCTTGTGTTTCTTCTCTTCTGTTGTCCTTTATGAGAGAGAGGGAGGGGAAGGAGGAAATTTTAAAGAAACGTTGCAAACCATTTGCCTTCATACTGCAGCTTCTGTGCACCTGCCCTGTCTCTTTTTCCATGTGTCTGCTCTGGCCAGGCTCAGAGCTGGTGCTGTCTTCCTGCTCTATGTCTTCTTCCTGCATCACCGTTCTCAGCTCCTCAGAACCTTTGCCTTCACCCACAGAGTCCTTGAGCCTTCGCCCTGACGGGTGTCTTTTTCCTTCTTATCAGTTTGTGATTCCAGACACTCACCTGTCTTCTCTGCCACAGGGATCATTCCAGATGCATAATGTAGTACCCAATGCCAATGACCAACTCACTACCCTGAAGTAAAACCAGTCTGAGTTATAATCCATGGTGTTTGGTTGGAACCTCCAGCTCACTTCTGCAGGGTCTGAGAAGCCTCATCTCTCTCTGTCTCCAAACCCCACCATCTCAGAGAATATCCAACAAAGAAAAGGTTCCAAAAAACCTAGTTTTACATTCTTGGTGGCTGCAGTAGCTTCCTCCCAAAAGAAGCCCAACTCCCTGCCTAATGCATTCAGTTTTTGATCACACTTGGGCACAAATCCAGCTTGTGGCAGACACATCATCACCCCTCATCTACAGGCTATGTAACCTCCTGCTTTAGTTTGGGATCTCTGAGACTGGAGAACTCACCTGGGAGTTGCTTTGTTCAAATAAACCTATTCTTTTAATTTTTCAACTCAGCTTGATCTGGCTTACTGTGTCAGCAGAGAAACCTATTATCTTGATACAGAAAACCTATCCCATGGTATGTCATTCTAGAGCAGAGCCCTCTCCTAGTTAGGATGGTGAAGCTAGAGGTTACAGAGATTGTCAGGGATGTTTTCAATGAGGAAGGTGAGGTAGGCTTGGTCGAATCTGCAAAGCCCCTTGCTCTTTCTTAGCAAGGAGTGTCCAAGTTTAGTCTTCATTCACTCTCACTCGGTCACTGGCAATAAACCTTTTCTTCCCCAGTTTTTCCTAGGACAAACTGAAAATAGTACTTACATTAGAACATTATGAGAATCATAAGTCAAAATCCACAAAGTGTTAAGACAGCACCCAGAATATGTATGGTGAGTATGAAGTTCCTCCTTCTCCTCCTTCCTTTTGAGACAAGGTTACTCAGAGTAGCCTTGGGTGTCCTAGAACTTGTAGACCAGGCTGGCCAGGCTCAGAGCTGGTGCTGTCTTCCTGCTCTATGTCTTCCTGCACCACCGTTCTCAGCTCCTCAGAACCTTCGGAGTATTCACTTCTAGCTCTTGATTGTCCCTAGGATACAAAAAAGAATTCTACTTTTATTCTTCAACCTTCTCTGAATTTTCTAAATTTTTTTCCTAGAACCTAATTCCAAATTCTGGTAAGGAGTCACTGAAAGACAGAAAGGGAAGCCAGCTCTTATTCCCATAGAAGACAACTCAAGAAAGGGGCTGAATGTACTCTAATTTTCTTTCTCTTCCTATTCCTCCTTCTACTGCTTCTTCTCCAAAGGCAGTGGGAATTATCACTCCAAATGCACTGAAAGATTTATCAAGCTCTAGGACTATCATTTTTAAGTTATTTTCACACCCCATTCATTCCTCTGTACTTTTTCTTTCTTCCCGCACATGTCTGGGATAATTTCCCTCCTCACTCTGAGGTCTTTTGAGTCTACGTTCTTAGACTTCATTAACACTCTACCTCTGTGTCTATCCTGTTCTGATGATGTTACTCAATCTGGGTTCTGTGCTTTTCAGTTCTAGAACTTCCACTTGGGTCGTTTTGTCTCTATCACTTTCGGTATTTTCTAGTTTTAGTTCAAAATGTTGAAACTTACTTTTGTTTTACTCCAGTGATCATAGTAAGTGTGGTCATTTTGTTAATGTGTCTGATAATTCTAACATCTGGAGTTCCTGTGTGGTGATTTCTTCTTCTGTTTTCATTTATGGTCTCTCTCTCTCTCTCTCTCTCTCTCTCTCTCTCTCTCTCTCTACTGGAACATCTTCTAATTTAATCTTGGTCATCGGACCTGGAAAAATATAAGAATGGCACCCTTTTCCCACAGAGGTTGATTTTGTTTTCGTTATTTTCTTTTTCCAATAATCTGGACACAATAATGATCTTGGGCTACCTTAATCCAAATTCAGGGATTGGAATCTTCCGTGTCACCCAGAGTGGTCACACCCACAGGACCTGGTGTGCTTTTGTTCTGGTGTTCTTTTTTTTTTTTTTTTTTTTTTTTTTGGGGTTTTTTTTTTTTTTGTTTTTTTTTTTTTTTTTTTTTTTTTTTTTTTGGAGCTTGGTTGAAGATCAGAGGATTTGCCAGGGTTCTCTCACACTTAGTGAGCTTTCCACACCTAAGAGATCACATTAACCCCCACCTTGGGGGCTAACCAGCAGGGTGAGTCCAGGTGGTACTTAGAAGAAGAAGAAGAAGAAGAAAAAGAAGAAGAAGAAGAAGAAGAAGAAGAAGAAGAAGAAGAAGAAGAAGAAGAAGAAGAAGAAGAAGAAGAGGGAGGAGGCTAAAGTCCACCTGTGTCATTAAAACATACTATATGCAAAAATTGTGATTGGGCATAAAAATCTTGGCTGTGTGTACGTGCATGTGCATGTGTGTGTACATCAACAACAGCAATAGTGGTCTAGTCTCTGAGCAGTTTACATAAATGTCCCTGTGTGTCTGTATTTTTGAAGAGTAAAATGTGATGGAAAGGTGTTGAGCACTTTGTGGCAGTTGCCAGCTCTAGACCTGAAAGATGACAGAGACGAGGATAGAATTGCTAAAGCTTAGAAGCTTAGAGAAATGCCCATGCAGCTAGAGTGTGAATCTGTGGAGGGAATCCACTGGAATTATGGAGACTTGGAAAAGAGCCCCAGGCTACCATTCATGCTCTGAGGAGTCCTTGTCAGTGCATCGGGGATGAGGATGCACAGGGTAGTTCTGGAAGAGCTGCCCTAGATCCAGGGGCTGCTGTTGCCTTGAGAATGAAGATCAGATTGGTCTGCTGCCCTCCTCAAGTCTATGTCTACTCTCCTTAACTGGCAAAGACTCACAATGAGCTATCTAGGAAAAGAGATGTCAGTATAGCTACTCAAGACTGTTCATGAAAGGTGGATTTAAACCTGACATACTATATTTTTAGACCCAGAATACCATCTTTGCCACACTGAATCTGCTTTATTTCAGGAAGTGGTCACTGTGGAGTTTTGGAGTTTCAGGTATGAGATTGTTTCTACCCCAGATTTTTACATTGATTTTTATCTAGTTGCATTATGTCTGGGTAAGAATCGCAGGTAGGTACATTGATGCACAATGAAGGAAAGTAAGCCTTCAGAATATGAACTGAATATGAAAACTGCTTTAAGAAGTAAAGACTGCTTTGTTCTCTTTCCATTTTCCACCATGTATATTTTCCCTGTAGATGAACTTAGCTTGTTAAACAATGCAAATGTGAATATCTTGTAATATACAATCAGACAGCAATTCTTTCTCCTATGTTCCAACACCAGCAACAGTTGAACCATCAGCTCATTGTCTGTAGGCTGAGGTAGTCAGTGATTCATGTACTCTAAGCAAGCCTCTATCTAAATACAGACAGCGTGCAATGCCAAGACTAGAACACCACCCTCAATTAATCTGGACACTCATAACTGAGCAAGGGTCCTTTAACTTTAGCTCACTACTTTCTCTGTTCTTTTCTTTCTTTGTCATTATGTAAAGACAGGTTTGAATTTTATAAAAAAAATAGATTTCATTACAGTATGTGGTACAGTGGTATCTAAATTGCTTTTTATTATCATAAAGTTGCTCATGCTGGAGAATGTTTGTTGTTAATCAAGCATTTAATTGGGTTTGGAAATCCTATGTCACATGGAATCACATAGTAAAGGTGATGTTTATTTCACAATGGAATGAGTCACTCTTATGTGGTACAAGACCCAAGGCTATTGAAAGCCTACTGAATAGACAAGAGCCTTATATTTCAGAAATCCACACCTAAAACCAGCAGCACAGGACATAACATCCCTGGAGCTAAACCCACTTTCACACTAATCATCCTAGAACATAAACAAATAAACATTTCAAAATAAATGAATCTGTTGAATTTGACACACATTTTATTTCTTTCTGTTGTTCCAACACATGGTTAGTTACAAGACTGTTGACATGTTAGCAGAAGCTCTAAAGTTTATGGAAGACAAATTGTCCTTGGGCATCATGGAGAGAGGAGACAATGAGCAGGATGAGGGGACATAGCAATGGAATGGGGATGAGCACCTAGAACACAGGTCCTCCCTATGACCATTTTATCTCAGAGTAGTCAGCATCTTCAGCTACAGAAAATTTGTTCTGATATTTAGTAATTAATTACTTCTTACCCCACACATTCTGTGGGGCTGGAATTAAGAATGGGAGCACCACACTTGATGGTTTGGTTTCAAGGTCTTGTAGGAGGTTGCAGTTGAGTGTTTGGCTGGAGTTACAGTCTCATCTCAAGGACTGGTTGGGAAATCTTCCACTAATGTTACTCAAGTGACTGGATGCAGGAGGTCTGAGTTCCTATAGGTCTCTCTAGAGGACTATTCACATCTTCCTGGTTTGTTTCCAAACACACACACACACACACACACACACACACACACACACACACACACACGGCGGGGGGGGGGGGAGATTGTGTTTGGAAGAAGGCTGACCCAATCTCATCTATTATAGAGGTTCTAGTTGTCCCACTTAATAGTCCTAGGACCTTGTGGAGTGGGACTATACAGGGCTGTTGGCACATCCACAGGGTCATGTGTGCAAGGCCCTTTTTTGCATGTTTCTTTCAATTCTGCCTTTTACACCTGTAAGAAAGTACTGGAGGTGAAACAAGATTCTGGAAGATTGGGATTTTGTTACACACAAAGTCATAGCAACAGCACCTGTCTAGCAACTGCCACATGTGTGGCCCTGAGCTGGTGCCAGGCAGACTATGGAGGTCATGGCTGAAGGATTTAAACACAAGGAGCTGGCACTGTGATGGGGCAATGAGTCACAATCACTCAGAAGTACAAGAAGGCAAAAATGCAAGACACATAAAGGAAGATGTGTTTTCACTGGGCCAGGTATAATCCATGGATGTCATTTAGTATCTAAACAATGTAATTTCTAGTTGATAAATTGAATGATGAGTTTAGGCTACATTGAAATCTAGGGATCCTAAAAACCCTACATTTTCTAAGGATTGTGAGTCTACTATGGACCATAACACATAGCAAAGAAAACCAGTGGGACCTCATGATTGAGATGTCTTCTGAACTGATCAAGATAGCCTCATGGCTCTCTAGGAGCTATGAGCTATTTGTGCTAAGACAGATGGGTAGGAAGGACATATAGTATAGTTTATTTAAGTCCAGGGGGACAGGACTGTCAGACTCACTGTGCTTCAGTGAATAATGGCTGATACGGCACCTTCCTCTGTGTCCATGTCAGGATACAGATGTAGCTTTCTTAGTTGCTCTTCTTCTGAGAGCTGCACACTGTTGTGGTCCACCTGGCCCTGCCTATTTTCCCCTGAGATGTGTGCTACCAATTACACTGTATATCCACGCAGTTTAAGATATTCTACCGCGCTCCGGTCAATGGGGAGTGACAACAGGCACTTGGACAATTGCTTCACAATTCACTACCAACTTCAACTTGCATCACAGTAGAAGGACCTAGCCTGAACACAGGAATGTTGGTTGAGCGAAAATCATGATAAATTTGTTCAGGTTTCCCTCTCCCCCATGGAATTTCTGAGCTTCTTTTAAAAAATGTTCTATTTTAAAAAGCACTTCTTGCTCATTTTGTTGTTTCCTGTGTGCAGTGTTATTTCTTCCTTCACCCTTTTATAGGGATAGCTTTGAAGCAGATAGCCATATGCAAGTTGAGATCTGCTGAATTTATTCGCTCTGCAGGAAGCCGATGCACTCTAGAACATTCCTGGAGGTCAGCAACATCAGCACTCTTGCAGTCTTGGCATGAATGCAGAATTTCCATGTTTTCCCCAGAGCCACTGAATCAGAATTTATGTTCGGGACAAGATTCCTAGGTATATTCTACCAACCTCAGGATCAGTAAGGGTAGAATCTGCACTGAGAACCAAATACAGCTGTGCTTCTGGGCAGTGCGTGCATCCAGATGGGTCTCCATTTTCTTGCCAATCACCATCCTCCTTCCTTCCTCTCTCCCATCCCCTTCCCTCCTCCCCCTTCCCTTTCTCTCCACCATCCCCTTCCCTCCTCCCCATTCCCTTTCTCTCCACCATCCCCTTCCCTCCTCTCTCCCCTTTCACGCTCTCTTCTTTTTATCCCCGTCTCCTTCTCTTCTCATCTCCCTCCCCTCTCCTCGTCTGTTTCCCTCTCACCTACATTTTTTGATCATTTTTATTTTTCTATGGAAATCCTGAAGCAATTGTGACTTGTTTTTGTTTTTCCCCATCACTTGGAGCTGAGTCCTTTCATCTTTGATTCAGCCAATTTCCTTCAAAGCTAAATATTAAACAGATCTGTCTTCTGACAGCTGACCCCAAATAGGGACAGGCAGTGGTCCTCACCCCGGGGGTGTAGAGCAAGCCGACAAAGGTAGAGGAGAGACAGAATGGAGCCAGTTCCTATCCCCTGGGGAAGCCCGGGAGTTCTGTCTAAGCCTTTGCACAGTCAAACAGCCAAGAGCCAAACAACCCATGGCTTCTGGAAGGCGTTCTTGCAGAAATGCCTTTTTTTTGCCAGAGGGTGAAAGGGTTGCTAATTGATTTTGTCTGCCTTTCAGATAGACTTAGAAAGACACAAGAGTCTAAATTCTAACAGAGAGGTAACATTTCTGGATATGTGAGCAAAATTTTCTGGGTTTCATGTGACCTAGTAGTCCCCTTCCTAATGTGTGTGTGGGGGGCATGGCTTGGTGAGCAGGGGACACACTCATCATGGCATGACCATGGGAGTTGGAGGACAATCTCCTGTATTCTCACTTTCTCCTTTGTTCAAAGGATCTCTATATTGTTCACCACCGTGGATGCCAGGCTAGCTGGTCCACCAGCTTCCATGGATCCTCCTGTCTCCAGCTTTCATCTTACTGCCAGAGCACTGAGACTACCAATGCATTCTACTATACCTGGCTCGATATGGGTTCTAGCGATCTTAACTTGGGTCCTTATCCTTGGCAAGCACTTTACCCACTGAACCATCATCTCAGTCTGATTTTAGTATTTCTTTAGTCATCCTGTTAATATAGTCATTAAAGTTAATTAGACAGACTATAGCAGAAAATAAGCATATCTGTGCATCCAAACTGTTATTTATTGACATTGGTGAGTAAGAACAGGCTAGGGGGCTGGAGAGATACCCAGTGGTTGAGAGCACTTGTTCTTGCTGAGGACCTGATTTTGGTTCCCAACACCCACATCAGGCAGCTCACGACCACCTGTAAATCCAGCTCCAAAAGCTCCAATGCCCTCTTCTGGCCTCCATGGGCACCTGAACACAAGGACAAACCCACATAGAGACATACATGCATAAACATTTTTTAAAATTAAGGACAAGACAGATCTTCTCAAATACTCTGAGATACGGATGGCCTCAGCTGGAACTGGGAAAGGAATTACTGGAGGTCTCTGGTCAAAGAGAGATCATTTCTGCCCTCTAGGATTTGAGCCAAAGGAATGGGTGCTATTAGCCTAAAATCTGGGTGCTGTTAACTCGGTATGGAACACCTGAGAAGTCAGGAGGCATGCAAAGAAAGAAGAGGCCCTTCAGCCCCAAAACTTTAAGTCTGTCATTGGATGCCAACACAAGAGAGCAGTGTGATGTACAGAAGAGCAAAAATGCCCATTTCCGAAAAGATGACAATGGTTTTAACAGGCACAGGGAAGTAAACAAGTCTTGTAGTTATTGTGAATGATCAAAGTTTTTCAGAGAAAAGGAAAAAAAAAATCACAGGATTCGGAAGGACTGCCCATTACTGGAATAAAGAGCTGGGGTCAGACTCCAAGTTGGGAGAGTTGTTTTTGCTTGATTAAAAGAAAAACCAGGGAGAGTGTAGGCATCTGCATGGACTAAGTCTCCCTAAGCCTCTGAGTTTACTTTCATCCTTTCTTTCTTGTTATCCTGGATTTGAATGTTGTTCTTGCAATTTTTCGAAAAATGTGAACTATGGACTTACATCCCCACCCAATCAATACATGACTGAAAACAAGAGGTAGAAGCCCAAGTTCATTTCCTTTGCAGCTTATCGTCAACCAAACGGGAGCTCGGGGATTCTTACTGTTTTTGTCAAAAGACAAAATCTCGACAAATTTAGTTAGAGATCTAGTTGGATTTTAGTTGTGATTCATGCATTGTGGGGCAGCCGTCACACCTCCAAATGGAACCAGTATCTGCTCCCTCTGGGCAGGAGCAGAGCAGTGTGCTCTGTAAGAGAGGAACAATGAGAAGTAGGAGGCAGGCAGGTGATGGCAGGTTTGCACTTCTACAGGCCACTTTCGTGTAAAGTACAAGGGATGTTCTCATTATACTGATTATGGCGGAGTCTCCTATTCAGGAAAATCTCCTCTGGTGAGGATCTATTTGCTTCCCCAAACAGATGATAGGATAGGACAGGATGGGATAATGGCTGGAGGTGTAGCATTTTGTCAGAGTGATGGCATCTTAGTTTATCTAGTCTGTTGGTATCCAGGGTGGTAACTCAATATAAAATAATGAAATATCACTATTTTGTTTGACATTTGTGACATGAAGAAGATACTTAGGCTGTATTGTTTATTGTTGATATATATATTTAGAATGTAAGTTAGACTGTATTGTTGTACAGGTATTGTGTTCTGTAGGATAAGTGTTCTAAAGAGAGAGTAGAGAATAATTTATTTGTGGATGTCATTCTTGAGGAAAATTCACTGATTCTCAATAAACGTGTGAAGTTGCTAGTAAACTTACAACACCAGAAGAAAATGTCTAAGCATGAAGCCATTCCTTACATTCATTTTACTTATATCTATTTATAAAGAGAAGAGGAAGATGTGGGGGCTCTAATTTACTTTTTGTTTTCCCACTATGCCTAGACTACATATTACAATAACAGCCCTATAAAATCTGTCTAGAACAAGATAAATTTATCATTTGGTAGTTGTCTATTATTAATTCATATACATACATACATACATACATACATACATACACACACACATATATAATTAAACATGAAGTTATTCTTGAGTTCAATCACTCTGGTTTTAAGTGTTATTAAAAAACAAGACTCCTCCTGGTGAACCAGCAAATCAATTCAGCACACTAACTTCAGATGTGATTACTTCCTTTGTGTCCAGCAAGTTCATTATCCCTAAGACATTATCCTAGGAATCTAGTAATTTCAGGAGCAGAGGCAACCAAGTTTATTTTAGGTAACCTGTAGTAACCCCTTCACAGCACTAGAGGCCATGTAACTAAACTCTAAACTCTCTTCTAGGAGGAAGCACCCTGGTGACTGCCTAGAGCACAAAGCACTGCTCTCAACCCCAGATGGTGCAGTCTTAGAGTAGAGTCATGCTCCTCCTAGCCAGGATTTTGCTACTTTAACTATTCAAAGCCTCTTTAAAGGGAAACCATAGTGTGCAGTCTCCCAGGATTGACTGCATGGCAGCATTGTGCACACCAAGAGCTTGCACTGATTAACTCACAGTTGTGAAAATAGTAAGCCTGGCATCCTGCTTGCTATTAGTTACCTTTACCATATATTGTCAACTTTTGAGGTCAGTGAAATGGCCTAAATGGTAAAGGAAACTGCTGTCATGCCTGATAACCTAAGTCCAGTCTCTAAGACTCACACTGTCAAGGAGAAAACTGAGTCACATAAGTCATTCTCTGACTTCTACTCTTGCAGTGGCACTCTCTCTTCTCTCTCTCTCTCTCTCTCTCTCTCTCTCTCTCTCTCTCAAATGTAATAAAGAAATGTAATTTTTAAAAAAGAAATGTAGCTAAAATCATTGGCTCACCTCCTCCTCTCCCTCAGGGCCCTCCATCCAGTATCCAGTTTACCTTCTTGACAGCAGGTTTGAGGCTCAGCTGACCACAAGAAGGCTTTTCCTTTCTTTTGATGAGTTTGCAAGATGGCTCATTTGTTACCTTGTGGAAATGGCTTTGAAGAAGATCGCTGGATGCTGGGTGATTGTAATTGGATTTAACTAATGTTGAATATTGTATAAGAGTGATGCATCTTCATAATAATTAAAGTTGTTGTCTCTGTGTTTTATTCAACAATGTAATCATGCTCAGGCTTCCAGAGTTGCCTCTAGCCTTGAAGCTTCATCTCCAAAGGCTCAGTGGCTGCAGGGGTGCACCAGAAATTCTACAACAAGCTGGAGTTCTCTTTAGAAAGTGACATGTTCTTGAAATACAATCCCAGCCATCTGGACAGCCAGCTCTGCCACCCAGGGTGATTGCTGCAGAAATGATTCCTGGATCAGGAGTTATGGCTCCTCGTGTATACTGTATCAGGGTGTTGGGGTAGGGCCGGAATTCTCTGCTGGACTCTTTCCAAGATAAACTTACTTATCTTTCCAAGGAGTCTTTCCAAGATAAGCCTGCTGATCCTAGTATGTGGAGCAGAGAGGAACCAAGTTGGAGTGTTAGGCTGTGGGCAGAGGCAGGGGTTTTACCTCTAAATCACAGCAGAGTCGAAGATCAAGAACCCACTAAGATGACAAAGTGTTTACCATGCACCTGGGCTCCAGGCCAGGGCTCTGACAGAGCCAGCGCCAAGCTGGAGCTTCTTCCCTGAGCCACCAAGCTCAACCAGTGCATAGACAGTAAGACAGGTTCTTTGCATCCGCTCTTGAATTATAAAAGTGTACAGTAGGGCAGGGTTGAAGAAACAAAGTTGAAGGTGAGGGGTGCTTTTATGGGGGGGAGGGGGAGGGAAATAGGCCCAATTTTGTCTTGTCCATTTCTCTGTCTTCTTCCTGCAGGTACAAGACCGGATGTCAGATCTGCAGAGGGCCTCTGGAGGCAGAAATGGAGTGAGAAGCTGCAGTCAGAGGAGCATCTCTGGGCAAACACAGGACTTGGAGTCAGAGCCTGGCTGAGGAATTGTTCATCCAGTTCAGGGCAGTTTGTGCTTTCTGTTCCCTTGATATTCCTGGAGTTGCCAAAGTGAGTGAGAAAACAATCATGGGTGACCAGGTTAGCGGCCCCTCCACCCCTTTCCCTCCTGATCCCCCCACCTCGATTGTTAGATTATTCAAGACCTCTTCTAGCTGCCCATGGCATCAGCATACACGTGACACCAGGTGACACCAGTCCCTTTGTCTCTGTCATGTTTCCGAAGTCATCACCAGAGACTCCAGTTTGACAATCCACAGTAGATTTAAAAATAGATGGGAACTTGTCGCAAGATGATTTGGTCTTCAAATGGTAAAATCAACCAAAGATACCTTTGGAGAACTTAACTCTCACTAATAGGACGCTGCTTCTTGGAGCAGGGGAATGGCTGTCACTCTAAGTTCACTTTCTTCCCAACTCCCATAGTAGGGATATGGGCATAAAGCATAAATTAGCCTCTGAGCCATTCACTAAGATCTAGCAGCATTATTTTATGAATTATCTCTGAGCAAGATAAGGCCCATGGTTGAATTGTTTAGAAGCTACTTAGGAGCCCTGGAAGGCTGCTTATGAACCCGTTCTCCTTCTATACTTTTAAAGCCCTGAATAATCCCCTGCAAGTATAATCTGGGTATTTCAAACTCATGTATATTTCTTGTTGTCATTACTGGGGTATCCTCTGACAAGACAGCAATACTCCGTGGGTCAGTAAAGGGTGTGGAGATAAACCACTCTGGAGACAGTCACAGGAAAGAGCATCTGCTTTATTGCACATGTGCAACCTCTTGGATAGTGAAAGCCTATCGACTGTGATTGGCTAGCACACTACCTCAGATTGGATAGTGAGCAACCATACCACCAGGGTCTCTTCTAAAGGAAAAAGCACATTAAAAGAGACAGGAGAGGGCAGACTTTTCTGCAGGCCAGCTACGGGCTACTCACGCTACTTCAGAATCTATAGCTGTGACTTCTGGAGCATGGCGTGTCATGCTTCTTATATAGAAGTGCAGTGTGTCCAGTAGGCTGGCTCCCAAGTCACACCTGCACTTGGCCCTTGATGGATATTCAGGGTGGACCCTTGGTCTTTATCTAGTTAAGGACTGATGGGGGAAGTTCTTGTGTGTATGTCTCTCTTATTGGTTAATGAATAAAGCACTGTTCAGCCAATGAGGCAGAAAGATAGGTGGGACTAGGAGTCGAGGAGGATTCTGGGAAATGTAGTAAAAAGTCTTGTGATCCAGGCAGGAAGTGACAAAGCAGGCAGACTCAGAATGTAGGCAGGGACAGGCAGGAAGTCGCTCTCTTCCTCTTTCTCTCTTCTCTGGTGCCACCATGTGAGCCTGACAAGAGAGGACTCAAGCTGCTGGCATCCTTGATCAGATAAGTCTTTATAAATATATAGGAAGGAATCCCAGTCATTGTACCCAATGTAAAGTCTCTGTGTATTATTTGGGGCCCTAACACAGTGGGCAGAACTCAACTGGAACTCGGGCAACTGGTGAAAAGATTTATTGTTACAAAGGACTCCCATGAATTAGGTTCACAGAGATAACATGGGATGAGGTAATGTCTAACTAGTTCTTTCTTGTATTTGACACCTTTTTTCTTGCTGGCCCTAATCTCCTAAGAAGCTTGAGAATGAATTCATAGACCATTGACTATCCCATACTAAAGTGAGAACAGTCCCTTCTCTGAGCCACCCAACTACAATCCCATCAAGATACAAGGAAACAATAAGTCAGTTAAGTAACAAGAGAATAAATGAAAACTCACTGTTAACTGCCAGATTCTTGTTGGAGGTGCTTTCTATTCCTGCTGGTAGAATCAAAGCTTGGCCTGGCTTTTATATCAACACACAGCAAATCCCAAAACAGAGCCCAGAGTCAAGCACTCCTGTGGTTTAAGTCATAGAGACTGGGTTTGAATCTAAGTTCTGTCCTTGTTCCCCCATTCCCAACTAGAGGTGTGACATAAATGACTTACTTTTTCAAGTTCAGGTAATAATGTCTAACTGTATTTGCAGCTAACATTTATTGAATGTTGTGTGTTAAGAACTTCATTCATGTTTCTTCATTTTATCCTTACGATTTCTTCACTTTACAGGTAAGAGCGTGGAAACTTCCAGCTTTTCCAAAACATTCAAGGTGGCAAATGTGGGTCACCAACATGACTCTTTGTGCCTCAGAAAGTCTCTGCCTGTCACTGTGAATATGAAATGACACGATGTGTTAAGTGTCCTAAGGATGCTTCTAGAAGAGCAAGTTAGGAATCAGGTCATCATGTAACCAATCAGATAGTTTCCAACTCAAGCATTGCACTAGATGGGACAAAGCATGTCCCACACTGACCCCAAACTCTTTTCTAAACGCAGGGACATATATTAGGGCCTCATCACAAATCTGGAGAAGGAAAAAACAACTTTATCTGTGACAGCAGCAAGCTTCCTTAAGCTTTCAGGAAGCAGCAGGTGGTTGTATTCCAAGGGCTGACTGTGGGTCTCATTCCTTCTGAAAGATTTTACAGAGTCTGCATGTGTCATTCTGATTTGGCTTCTGTTTTCCAGTGGAGAGGAAATGGCACTCTGCTGTAGAGACTGAGTCATTGTGATTTCTGAACTACATTGGTTAAGAAAAGCATTGGGCTTTGCAGGTTTGTGCTGGGTGCTGAGATAACTGTAGTTACCACAGATAACAACAGAGGGAAGAAGAACATGGGAAACAAGAGATGGCTGTCTGTCCTCTTCAGAATGGATTCCTGAGTGCTCAGCCCTGTTCTGGGTTTGACCTCCCTGAGAAGTGGTGTTTCTACACAATTGAGTCTACTGGCACCCATAGCAATCTTTTTGTATTTTAGGGCAAAAAGAAACATATCCTAGAAAGCACAGAATATGGTTTCTATGTCTTTTTTTCCTTCAAGGCATCATTAGGCATATGTTTCACCTCATAATATAATATTATATTTGAGCTTGACATGAATCATGATCATAATGAAGACAGTAACTTCTAAAGAACACTTACACTGCTACAGGAATAGAGTCCCATACTTGTTGTAAATCATTTCAATTAATTAACCTTCTAGATTTTGCTCAGAAAACTGGGACTCATAAAGACTCCTCTCCCACCCCCCTCTGTTGGGCACATGCTCATACACACACACACACACACACACACACACACACACACACACACACACACACTGACTTCCTTTTAAAATGGGCTCTCATGTAGTTCAGGCTAGCCCAGAACTACATGTAGCAGGAGTGGCCTTGAATTTCTGATTCACCTTTGGAATGTCAGGATTAAAGGCCTGCACCACCATGCATGTTTATGCCATGCTGGGGATGGAACCAGACTTCCTGTATGCTAGGCAAACACTGCCAATGAAGCCCTTAAGGATTTTTCTAAGATCAGATACACAGCACACATGTTTGAACTATACACATTTTATTTTTTGGCTTTTTTTTTCTTGTCTTTTGGTGCTGGGGGCAAGCTCAGGACTTCCCACGGGTGCTGAGTACACACTTTAATTCTGAGACACACCTCTGCTCACTGCATGTCTCTTTGATGGTAACATCCATGACAGTCTACACCCTAGCCTCTGAAATAGCAATGGCATACAAAGCGAAGGGGATGAGGGATGAAGCGGCGTGGAAGCTGGTCCCTGCTCAATCCCTCTTCCATCTCAGACACTTTACACATGCTTTTTCATACCTGCATTTGTAAACTTAACAACTGAGCTGGTGTTTGATACCAAATGCACCTTCTTTCCCCTCACGTGGATTTCTATCTGATTATGTGAGTTTTAAAAATAAGCTGATTAAAGTTATATTCATACAACCTAGTCCTGAAATGACCAAGCAACAAATTGGAAAATTAAAGCTTTTAAACATGATTATCTAGTTATATGTAATGGCTTAAAATAGAAAATATTATTATTATTATTATTATTATTATTATTATTATTATTATTATTTTGGTACAAAATTCAGGTAGAATCATTTGCTCTCCAGAAAAGCCAAATATCACAATATATGCACACGTGTCTGGGTGTGTGTGCATGCAGGCACATGGGTGGGTACAACAGCATGCATGCAGAGGTCAGGCTTATAGAAGCCAATTCTCTCCTTCCATCATATGTTTCAAAGACTGAACTCAGGTGATAGGCAACAAGGGCCTTTACCCATTAAGCAGGCTTACTGACACTGAATTTCTTTTTTTTTTCTTTTTGTTTTTAGAGACAGGTTTTCTCTGTGTAACAGGCCAGGCTGTCCTGGAACTCACCCTGTAGACCAGGCTGGCCTCGAACTCACAGAGATCTGACTGCCTCTGCCTCCTGAGTGCTGCCTCCTGAGTGCCATCACCACACCAGCTTGACACTGAATTTCTTAACGAGATGAAGTGATAAGGAGCTAGGAATGGAATCTTCTAGTATCTTAAGACCTAGCCCAAGAAACTGATACTGCATGTCTAGCAAAGCAGAATAAGGCCTAGGCCAGTCCACACTTCAATAGAGGCCTGCCTGTCTCTCAGTGAACACA